GAGCCACACGTAGCCGAAGCTCGCTGTTGCTGGCCGCGTAAAGCAATTGAAGACGGGCGCGAGCTGGACGAGGACGACAGTCCCGACAGCTCTGACCGCCATCTGCTGCACCGCGGCAGGGAGCTCGGCAAACTGCAAGGAAAAGGTGGCGTCTGAGCCCAGGCTGTCTGATTGCAGGGTTGTGAGGTTGCTGCTCACACCATTCGACGCGTGGTGCAGGTGGTATGGTCGCTTAAAACAATTGTTCTTTTATGCTGGCCTACTCCTCGACGTCCATTTCATACCAACTCGCGCCCTTATTTCTTTCCTTTCTGCCAGCGCTTCTTTCGATTCGCACAGTCAATCAATATGATTGAAACGAAATATCGCGTACTCGTTTTCGCTGTCCTCAATTTCACAGTTGGCTCAGTGAGTGCTTTTTTTGTTGACTTGGATCTGACACATCACCCCAGTCGTCGGCATTAATTAAGAACCCTTAGAACTGAAGACATGATTCTCTCTCAACGATAGGTAGCAACACTGCAATCCGTCTCACTGGGGATCTCGCCGTTGCTGTCGAGTCTCCTCCCGCGCCTTGTGGGTCCGCAGGCTCTGGGTCTACTTTCAAGGTCAGATAACCCCCTTCCGCACTACGTGTGGAGCAGCAAATACTAATTGAATTTAAGCACACGAAGATCCTGTCAACCGCCGTCTTAGCTCATCTGGGAGAGCGTAAGACTGAAGATCTTAAGGCACCCGGTTCAATCCCGGGAGACGGCACGCAACGCGCCAGATCCCCAAGTGCGCCGAGATTCTGTCCACAATTCAATGCTGCCAAAATTCGAGCCGAAGAACATTTGTGACTGAGGTGTGGGAAGCACCAATATAAATACCACCTGTCGAACGTGAAAACCGCATCTTGCACAGCGAGTGCAGCTTCAGCGATGAGGTCCATACCGAGTTCTAGTTGAAAATTAACTCCAAACTGGCTTCTTGCGACTACGGCGGGGAGGGAATTTTTGAAACCTTATTCCTTTTATAAGTCGAGTTGAAACAAGCGACCACTCGGCATTCCGATTGCTCCCTCCCGAAATGTGGAGATGGGCATTAAAGGAACAGCGAGAGACACTGGATTGTGAAGCTCGGCTGTATGAAAATGGGATCAGTCTCCTCCAGTCGGTTGTATTTCATCGTTTGTGAATTAAGGAGTTTTAGGCCTCAGCCAGCGGTAGTGTGAGGCCGGCGAGACCAGTGCCCGGGCCGCAACAGCAAGCTGCCAACGACGACCGGGCGGGGTTTCAAAAATAACTGTGATAATAGATACGCCGGCGATGCCGGCGGTTAAAGTTATCACACTTTAAAGAACAGATACTACACTTGATCTTAGCCAATAGGCCAGAGAGGATTGTAAAGAACAACGGAAGGGGGAGGCGGCGGTATTTATACTTTTCTGTGGCGATCGGAGAATTCTCCTGCTTTGCAGGAGACAGACAGACTGAAAGAGACAAAAATACGCAAATATCATCGAACAGATCCCATCCATCCTATCCTCACCTACACGATGACGACGACGACGACGGCCGCAACGACCACCGGCACGGCTGACGACCAGGAGCAACGCCCGCAGGCCCTCCCTCCCGTCAACGTCGTCGAGGAGATCGCCAAATACCTCTACCTCAAACAGCGCTACCAATTCGCGACACTGCTGCGCGACACCACGCTCCACACCGCGTGCTACCGCTACAACCACTACCTCGATCTGGACGTGGCCAGCAAAAAGGGTAACATCCCGCTGCTCGACCGTCTCTGGCGCTTCTGCCAGGCCAGCGGCCTCCCGCCCCGCTACACCGACAACGCGATCATCGACCCCAGCTACGGCGGAAACGTCGAGGTCCTGCGCTGGTGGCTCAAGGCGTCGAGGGACGTGCCCGAAAAGTGCGTCGCAAAGGGGCTGCGCTCGGCGAGCTTCCGCGGCCAGGTTCATGTGCTGGATTGGTGGAAGGACGAGAGCGGGATCCCGCTCGAGTACAACGAGGACGCGCTCGACATTGCCAGTTTTTTTGGACACGTTGCGGTGCTGCAGTGGTGGAAGGACAGCGGCCTCAAACTGGTCAACACAAAGAAAGGCCCGATCAATGCCATCTCAATGGGCCACCTCGACGTCTTGGACTTTTGGCTCGACAGCCGCTGGAACCTCTTTATTTCGCCAGCGACGATGCGAAAAGCGGCCGACAACACCAAGAAAGATGGTGTTGTGAAGTGGGCGATCGAAAAGGAGTCTGTTTGGGAAGATCTGTGGCGGTCGCAGGGTGCGCCGGACGCGAACCTGTGGTAAGCTGGAGAAGAAATGATCATTTGGTGGAAACTATGAGAAAGAAAAATAAAAAAATTTAAAAAATGGCTTGCTGACCTGCGTATTCCGAGTACAAATTATCTGCTGTTCCTTTCTCATCCGTTTCGCACAATCAACGCTTCCATATAATTATCGTCAATTGCAACAGCGGGCTACCCACACAAGCGAGGGGTGCGTCACAACGGTTACGTGCCCTGCGAGAAAAAGCTCGCAGCAACAATAAAGCGAATCAATTAAAAAAGCTAGAAAGATTTCTTTCCAAGGTCGACAATATTCATCGATGACAAAGTATCTGGTTGGGAATAATAATGAAAAAGACGAAGAGCTGCTTTCGGAAGGTGAATGAAGAGGCTAAATGTGTGTCGCTTATGAGGATAGGAAAGAATACGATCGAAGAGAGGCTGTGGAAGGGATTACGCAAAACCGCCACCCGATTTCAACCTTCTTGCTCTAGAAGTTGCAAGCCGACTGCGGCGCCTCAACGGCGGTCGCGGGGACTCGCCCGAGGTCGTACGCCTGCCCACCGGTCAGCACGTTCATGGCGTACTGGCCCATGACAAACGAATCCGCAACGTCGACGGCGATCACGTACACAAACTTGTCGCTGTACGACACCTTGTAGCACTGCCCGCACTTTGGCGAGTTCCACGAGCCCAGGTACGGCGCGGCCGACGCGTAGCCCGGCAGCGAGCGGATGTCGGTGTACCCCTTCTTCAGCAGGCCGTTGACGCCGTTGGAGCAGGCGACGGCGGTCAGAGGGAGGGTGCTGTTGCGGTTGTAGTAGTCGTTGTAGGCGACGCTGACTTGGTCGCGTCGCGCTAGGGGCGAGGCGGTGGCCGTGGAAACAAGGAGGGCGAGGGAGGCGAGGATGGCGGAGAACTGCATGGTTTTTGGTTTGGGAAGGTTTCCAACGATGGGCTTGGGACTTTGGATGCGGTTTGTTTGTGTTGGGAGCAAGAGGCGCTTATTTGCTTGTGTGGGTGGAGACCTTGCTCGGTGGTCGACTTTTGTACGCGCCAACCGCCTCAGCCACTAAATCCGAAACCTGTCTTCCATTTCTGGCTGTCTTCGGTTCTCCGCGCGTGACCGAAACCTCCGAAAATGGAACTACCTTGTGCAACTAAACGCGGCATCTGCAAAGCTGGATTCTTGTCCCGAAAAGTGGATGAAGCGATAGTCACGCACAGGCACTGTCTTCCGCTGGATTGAGACAACCGTCTCATCCTGTTGTTCTTTCGTGTTGGATCGTAATTCTTGATTGGCCCAACCCCTCCGAACCTTCACCCTTGCCATGGTGGAAACGCGGAAGCAACCAACTGCAATTGTTTCTGATCAGGACTTGCACGACGAAAACGCACAGCCAGTTCCTCACCACTCACTTTCTCCGTCGTTCCAATTCCTCTAATCCTTGTCAGTTGCAGAATGGACTACGGCGACGAAGGCGGCGGGAGTGGGATCGTGCGCTAGCAACAATGGGCCCCAGGCCTGATAATGGTCGAGTGCAACGCTCGGACTCGGACAGGGGAGGGGTGAACAAACTGTTTAGCGCCGCTGGACTGAAAAGTGAGAGACATTGAGTCTACCGGTGATGGTCTGCCAATCAAATTAGAGGGGCCACTGCGAGCTTCGGCTTGTGCGATAAATGCGTGAAGCTGTCGTTTTGGTTGTTTTTATTGCAAAGACCAAGACGCCAAATATCAGGGCATTTGCGGCAGCCGTTCGATTTGTCGTGCCGGTCCGCCCGGCGAACGAACGTGGGGTTCGACCTTAGGAGCCAAAGGAACTAAGATAACATAGAGACATAGTTGCCCACACAAATCAGCCGGGTGAAAGCTGGGCCATCGCCGCCGGGTCCTTAATGGTGGGAGCAGATGGAGGGCCAGATCGATCAAGAGCCCGTGAGTATAGATTGCCATCCCATTCCGTGCTCAGCCATTCGACAGTAACGCTTCTCCGTAAAGGCGGCATCCAATACGCGGGCCTCACGAGGTGGATCTGCCGCCAGCGTCGGAGCAGATTGATCGTCAGCCACGCTTGGCGCCACGCTGGACGCCCAAGGAACCAGTCAGTCGCTCGATCTCGTCAAAGCATGGCTCGCCCAGGTTCAGATTCTGCAGCCAGAGAGTCGCCGCAGGTTCTTGCCGCAAGGTGGCTGACCCAGCACGACTGCGCGGAGGCAGAAGCAGTGAAGGTGATGATCCGCGATCGCGAGTCGACTCGTTTCGACATTGTTTTGGCCACAAACGGCCTTCTTCTTGCGGTAGACAGCAATCGACTCGACCTCGCAGAGGTTCTTTCTCGACTGCGGCGCGCTCGCGATCCCGGTGGCTTTTCGTTACGACATCTCACCCATTTCTCCGGGCATCCCAAGGGTCTTAAGCGTAAAGTGCTGTGCAGATTTAAAGGGCGTGTGGCAAAATGGTTACCGCGCTTGACTACGAATCAAGAGATTCCAGGTTCGACCCCTGGCACGCTCGCTACTCCAAATCATTGGGCATGTTCTTCAATAGGCATGGTCTTCAATAATAAGATCCTGGCATTCCCTTGTTTGAGGAGTACGTTCAATTTTTGATTGAGTAGCTGCCAATCGACGGACAGGTTCAAGAAGTACCAAAACCTCGCTGTTCCGAAAGACTTCCATGTTGAAAAATGAGGGTTTGGTGGTTTATGCCGTCTCCCGGGATTGAACCGGGTGCCTTAAGATCTTCAGTCTTACGCTCTCCCAGATGAGCTAAGACGGCCGATTGCAAACACACTGAAATATTGAGACCTCAATTTTGACTTCAGTTTATGAAATATGCAAAGCCTGCATTTTTCCAATTGGTTGCGAGAGGAGGAGGCTGTGCATTCAGCTTTTCTGCATTTAGATAGCCGTGCTGCTGCAGCGCAAAACGCGAGTGATGGTTTCTGACGCTTCTCTGCGCGTGACCAAACATCCGAAAAGGAACTAACGTAACTGTGCGTTGGGTTCCTCTCCAACAAAACGATGAACGCATGTGCATCCGCGAGGCTTATTTCTTGTCCCGAAAACTTCATGAAACAGGCGCTGAGTTACGCTGCTGTGGACTGAGGCAACCATCTCGTTCCCTCTCATCTATTTTCATTGTTGTTCTTTCGTACTGGATGCGCAGAGAATGAAGATAAATAAAAAAGACACCACAAGCAAATCAACTCCGTGACAATGACAGCCGAGTTCCAGCCGATCTCCCCTGCCCATTACTCTCGGAGAAGTCGAGAACTCCAAACCACAAATTGGAGAGGCATCGTGGAGGAAAGCCACAACACCGAAAGAGCCCGGCGAGACCACAGCAGAAGCAGGCCAGCGCATCGTGCGCGGAAGTGGAGAAGAGTCCACTCGAAACACGGCGGATCAGATCAGCCCGAAAACTCCAAAACCAGATTTGGCACAGCAAGCCCACACTCTCGGACTACCGAAAAGAAGCTGACCTTAACCAGCGTCCACTTCAATGATTATACGCTGTACCTTGCGCAGACCGCGAATAGTGAAACTCTCAGACTTTTCTCTCCGCCGCCGCAGTTTTACTCGATTTATGGTTTGGACAGCGTGCCACTTTCGAACGCGACAGACGTGCAAGGTTTAAGCTTTTGCAATTTTTAGCTTTTATTCCTTCCGCAAGACGAATAAAGACTGGTCCAAACAAGTTTCAAAACAGCATCCACACCTTCCACCCCACTTCCCCCCTTTCTGAAAGCAGAGAAACATCATGAAGCTGAGCATTCTCGCAATCTTTTGCCTCTCCTCATTCCTCTGGACAGTCCTCGCAGCTCCTTTTCCCACCACCGGCGACTCCGACGCAGCAGACGTCGGAAGCGGAAAAATCCAGCCCGAGATGCAGCCGCCGGTCGCCAAGAAAGAAAACCAGCCTCCCGCCGCCAAAAAGAAGGTCCCACCGCCCTCGTCAAAGAAGGCGGGACTCGACATCCAGCCACCCGTCGCCAAGAAGCAAGCCACAGACGCTGCCGACGCGGCCGCGGTCGCTGTCGACGACGAAGTGGGCCAGGCCAACGCCGCGGGGCTCGGGTACGGCGGCGGCCTCGAACACGGGTACGATCTCGGGTACGGTCTCGGCTACGGCAAGAAGTTTGGCGGGTTTGGCGGGAATGGTAAGAAGAAGTTTGGCGATGGTGGGTGGGGCGGCGGCATCAACGTGAAGAACGTGGAGATAGAGAACAAGGACTTTGGCGACGATTTTGGCAGGGATTGGTATTGATTGGGGGTAGGATGGGTGGAGCGCTTTGATTTGATGGTTTCTATTCTTTAGAGTGGTTTCAATAACTCTGCGTCCATTTGCATGCTGTTAGGAAAGTATGGCTTCGAATACATTCTCTCTGGAGGCTGTTGGAATGCATTTTCTGCCATCAACCTCGTTGTTCCCCTCGCAAGATGGCAACTTTTTGCATTTCTGTTCGGCACACTGAATTATTAGTAAGCGGAATTCAGTGCTGCAGCTTTATTCATACAGGACTCATGGCATCAAGCTCTTCTTTCGCTTTCTTTGAGCCACGATCGGCAGCCTCACGGAACAGTTTGCGAGCCTCATCCAAGTCTTTATCGACGCCTTCGCCGTCGCGAAACATCTTTCCCAGCTCGAACAGCGCATTCTCGTTGCCCTGGGCGGCGGCCTTGCGAAACAGAAGGGTTGCTTTTGAAAGGTCCCTCTCCACGTCCACTCCGCTTCGGTACAACGTTCCCAAGGTGGATTGAGCTGCTGCGTGACCCTGGTCTGCTGCCTTTTGGAGCCATCGTACTGCTAATGTTGAGTCTTCTGGTACACACCGTTGCCAATCATGTAGAGCACGCCAAGCACACTTTGCGCATCGGCAAACCCTTGCTCAGCCGATTTTGTGAGCCATTCTACCCCTTCAGCTTTGTCAACTGGAACGCCCTGACCGGTGAGGTACAGTTTTGCGAGAAGATACTGCGCCATTTCGTGACCTTGCTCCGCAGCCGTTCTGTACCACCGTGCAGCCTCCACCTTGCTTTCAGAGATGTCCACGCCTTCGTCCTTCATCAGGGCGAGCTGGAACTGCGAACTCAAATGTCCTTGCTCTGCTGCTGCTTGAAACCATTTGGCCGCTTCCTGCGCATCCTTCTCCACGCCTTCTCCGTCAAAGAGCATCATGCCAAGATTGTGCTGTGCGCTTTCGTATCCTTGCTCCGCCGCCTTCCGGTACCATACTGCTGCCTCAGTAACGTTTTTTGACACTCCTTCACCAGTGTACAACCGCCTGGCAAGATTATACTGCCCGATGGGGTTCCCCTGCTCTGCGGCCCGCCTGAACCACTTTACCGATTCCTCAAGTTCTTGAGGTGCGCCTTCCCCTTTCAGGTACAACAGTGCAAGATTGTTTTGTGCCTCCGAAATGCCTTGCTCGGCGGCCTTGAGGTACCATTTCGCTGCCTCTGCACAGTCTTTCGGAATTGAGTTCCCGTCGGAGTACATGGCACCGAGATTATATTGTGCCGATGGGTTGCCCGACTCTGCCGCCTTCCGTAACCAGACGATTGCTTTAGCTCGATCCTCTGGCACGCCGTTCCCTGAGTAGTACAGCCGGGACAGTGCAAACTGAGCTTCTGCACTACCTTGATCTGCAGACTTCCGGTACCAGCGGGCAGCCTCTGCAGCGTCCTTTTCCACGCCTTCACCACCGAAAAGCATATCGGCGAGGTTTCTTTGCGCGGTCAAATTGCCCTGCTCTGCGGCTGCCCGGCACAGAATCGCTGCTTGAGTTGGGTCTTTCGGCACTCCCCTGCCCGTTCTATACAGGAGCCCGAGGTTGTTTTGGGCCTCCGCAACGCCTTTGTCGGCCGCCTTTCGGTACCAGATCAAAGCCGCCGACAGGTCCACAGGAACGCCCTCGCCGTTCTGGTACATCAGGCCGAGGTCGTACTGCGCCGTCGGCCGCCTTCGCGACCCATCGAAAGGCCTTCTCCGCATCAGCCGGCAGTGCTAGGTCCCCGATGAGGTACATCATGCCCAGCCGGCGCTGGGCGACGGCAAGCCCCTGATCTGCAGCCAACCGCAGCCACCGAAGTCCTTGCGCAAAGCCCTCGTCGCTGTCGCGCTCGACCGTCGCCAGCCGGGCTAAAGCAAACTGCGCAAACGGGTCCCCGGCGGACGCAAGGCCCACCATCCATTCGGTGCCGGCAGCAATAGCCGCCCCAGCCGATCCGTCGAACGCGCGGATCGCATTTATCTGCTCTCTGGCGGTCTTGTCTCCCAGCGGAAGAGCGACGGCCTCGGCGGCTACCCGGCTCTTAGCAAAGCCGACGCCGGCGGAGCGCATGACGGCACAGTGGAGTCGGGCGAGGTGGAGGGCGCGCGGGTTTTCGACGGCCTGGGTGATGCTTGCCGCCGCGCGGGGGATGTCGACAGGCGTGCCGATGCCGAATTGGTGCCGCAAGGCGAGGACGTACTGCGCGACGGGGTCGCCGTCCGCGCTTTGCACGATGAGACCCTCGATTGGGTGCGATTCGCTCATAGTTGATGGTGTCTGAGTTTGCGACGGGGCTCACTCAAGCAAAAAAGGATTGGCCGCGCTCTGCACCGCTCAGTGGCTCAGCCACGGCCAACACATGCCTTCGAATCCACTTCAACGGATCTGGCAGCAGCTGGGCTTCCGCACCGGCGCTGGCGTCGCCGCCTTCAATCTGGTGATAGTGGGCGATGCCGGATGCGGCAAGAGGAGTCTCCTCGCGCGGGTCATCCGTGGCGTTTACCCAGAGAGCGCAAGTTGCATTTGATCTTCGGGCTGGCGGTCCGGAAAAGCGATCCACCCTTACTTTAAAGCCACCCAACCCCGTTCCCAAACTTCCATACCGACAGTATAAAATACCGGCCGTCATTGATGTACCTGGGCTGAGTCCGGCCATTTTTCTTCTCCTGTAATAACTCAAATCCCGTTCCCACTCTGCAAGTCACACCGTTTCAATCTCCACACCGCCGACGCCGCGCTCAAGCTTGAGATCTTGACGATCGGCTTCCACGAAAACGCTCGTGAATGGCTGCGACAGAACTCATCCTGGCCGCACGTTGTGCTGGTCTGTTTTGCAATCAAATCGTCGGACTCGTTCGTCAGCGTTGTGCAGCAGGTAGTTCCTTTCAATTCTTTGGAGCGCTAATGGAGAGTTCTGACAAAGGATTGCGGTTGCGAACAACGAAATTGCAAGTGGATGCCAGTAGTCCGCCAGTACAACCCGCGCACGCCGATCATCCTTGTCGGTTGCCAAAAGGACTATCGGGACGAAGACGATGGCAGCCTGATGACGGTCGACACGGCAGAGGTTCCGTTTCATAATCCTTTTCCCCTGTCTTTCACCACGATTGTCGGCTGATCTGTCCCAACGGCCTAATGTCCCCGTAAATTCACATCTGTGGGGAAAAAAGGCCCTGGAGTATTCCGCACAGATCGGTGCAGCCGCGTACATCGAGTGCAGCGCTCAGACGGGAGAGGGCTTGATCGAAGTGTTTGGCGCCGTGGCCCGCGTCGCGGTCGCCGCTGGACTGACAGGCTAGAGCCATTGAGTCTCTTGCTGCGGCTGGAAAGCTGGGCTGCCCATCAAAATTAGGGGACACTGCGAGCTTCTTATAGTGCGCTTGATAAATGATGGGGTGAAGCTTTGTTGTACTGTAAATGAGGATCAGAATACTTAACTGAACGAGCGGATTGAAAAAGGTACAGAAGAGAATTATGAGTACCAATCCCCGGATTCCTCCACCGGTACCATCTGCAATCACGCAGCCCTATAGAACGCAAGCATCTGCTGCCCACAATTGAAGCCGCATTGTTACTCTCTCCAGCCGAAGGCCGCGCGCTATATTCGGCATTGGCGTGCAAGAAGCGATGGAGGAAGACAACGTTCTATGCATCATGCGTGTGAGCGTGGAAGGATTGACACGATTCGACTGCTATTGGGGGCTGGTGTACATAAACCTATCCATGCGTACTTACCAAAGAAAGAAGAATCAACTCATCTTACACCATGATCGTCTCATCACTTGCAAATTTCACCGTACCCCTCTTCTATTTTGATGTGCCACTTCATTGTACATATGTTCCCCATTTGGAGTCGAAGCGTTCAAGGACATCTTTCAGGTTATTGCGAGCCCCGATAAGATGTACACGGGTTGTGTGATTCAAATATTACCGTGTAGTTTCTCTTCGAAGCAAGCGTCAATTTCGGGAAACGGCAAGGTGCCGAAGTGGTGAGAATAAACTAGGATATTCATCTGGAGCAGTGAGAAACAAATGACTGGGTTGCAGAGAGCGAATACTGAAGAAGAGGGAGTTGTAAAAATCTATTACTCGTTGGCCGGGGCTGGTGCATCCGGCGTGTCGCACTTGAGAAAATGCGATGGTGAGCTGTCTCCCCCCCAACTCGGACGGAACTGCAAAGGGGTAGCTTCCTTTAGCTGGCAAGCGTCAAGTCTTTGACGCAAGGCAGAAGTTTGGCGGCTAAGAAAAGAAGTTTCGAATTTAGCTTCAGCCGCGGAACGTGTGCGCTGACCGGGAATTGAACCCGGGGCTGATGCTTGGAAGGCGTCTATTATACCACTAAACTACCAGCGCTCTTCATATAGAATGAAAGCGCATTAAAGAACTAAAATAAGAACACTGACAAGCAGCGCGATCCGGTGACTGAGACATTGTGAGCTCAGAAATGATGCAACTTCCGAAATTACTGAGCCAGGTTCCTCGTCGCCGTCGAAGAGGGCGACAGTGGGCACATCGGGCGGGGGCTCCATAGTTTAGGAACCAAGGCGTGCTATCCTCCGCACATACTGCTTTGTGGGTCGATACATTCTTGTGGTTGTTCGCCGCAAGAGCTTATTACTTCGCTCACAAAAATGTTTCGGGATATTGCTGTAAACAGCCCAAAAAAGCAAAAAAAAAAAAAAAAAAAAAAAAAAAAAAAAAAAGAAAAAATTGCCCGAGGGCGGTACATCCCGTCCCTGCCCTTTGCGATCAGAACACTGCATGGTGTTTGTTTCCAAACGACAACAATTTCAAAAACTCGAACACTTAAGGTTGATATTACGGAACCACCCAAGATCCCCTTTAATTCCTGCTGTGAGTTCGTCTTTGTGGCCACGGGGCCCCCCCTTATGGAATGGGGAGGCCTTCCGAGTCGGCGACAGCGAACTCAAGGATTATCCACGTCCACGAGTCGATTTTTCGCGCTGCTATAATCAGGGCCGTAGATAAACCCCACGAAGGCTGCATTATTCCTGGGTCACGTACGAGCTGACGGACGCTTAATTTTGATGATGACTTCTCGGTGACCTCGAAGGATCTCGGCTCCGCCGCAGCGGCGGTTGGTACACCCCAATGGAGCAGTGGCCTGGTGGCGTTGATGGCGGGGTGCGTGCGAACTTTGTCCTTGTGGTGCCATGGAGACGCAGGACGCGCGCTCCGGCCTCCCGGAACAAGCTGCCAAAGGTCTTACCCTCTCGAAGCCGTCAGCCTACGGCGTTTTCTAGGACAAGTCGACTGGGTGTCGTCTTCGCGGTGGTCATGTTGAAGCCGGGGGAAAGGTTGGGCCATTTGCTGCCTCTTCTTAATATCAATCAATCCCCACGAGAGACATTCTCGCGAGCGTCGGGCGCTAGCGTTCGTTGTTGTTTTTTGTGCTTACCAGACCGAGACACTCGCTCTGACCAGTTGTGCGTGCTGCATGCAGAAGCGTCGGGTGTGTCTCTCGCTCTCAACGATTATGGGGGCGTGTCTGTCTGCAAGCCACACACCCTTTGTCTGTTCCTTCCTTCCTCATCTGGGTTTTTTTCCGGATGGCTGGCTGTCTTTGACGTTGACTTGAGCATTTTTCTGTTTTTTTTCCTGGGTTCTCACTCAACGGAGCCTATCTGTCTGTCTGTCTGTCTGTCTGTCTGTCTGCCTGCCGCGAGTCGAGCGGCTCCCTTAATTGCTTGCTAGTTGCTCTCTCCCTCTGTCTCAAGTCCCTCTCCCTCTCTCCGGATGAGACATTGTTTGGTTGGCTCTTGTGGGGCTCCCTGTTTGTATTTCTTCTCACAGTCTGTCTGTCGTTCGCTCCCAAGAAACACCTCCGCCGCCGCCGCAGCAGGAGAACACCAACCCATAGGTCGCTGAACTGACTACTACGATCGAGGAAGGCCCTTCTACCCTCCAACCCGGACCCCTCAACCCACCCCCTCCCCCCCCCTCTCATTAAAGGGAGGGCGCTGAAGTGGACAAGACGGACGGTGCCAGCACTGCTCCTCCGCACAGAGACACACACACTTCTACCCTGCCGCACGCCCTCTTCCAAACGTCGGCGTGTCTGGCGCTCACCTCTCCACCAAACCGCCAACAGTCGGAAGAGCGATCATGCATCGCCATCGACGGCACGCCAGCTCCCTTCGCCCTCTTCGGCTCGTTGCCGCCGCCGCGATGGTCCTGGTTTCGGCGGCGGCAGTCGCATTGGTGCTCCTTGCTCCACGGTCCGCATCGGCCGATGCGACGGCGGCTGCATCACAACGTCCGCCACCACCATCCGTAGCCGGCCAACAACAGCTTCCTTTTGCATCTCCCCTCGACGGCGGAAGTCTCTCTTCGGCGTCTGCAGCTCTCGCCCTTCCCGCAGCCGTCGCCGTCGACACCAGCAAAGTCGCCGAGCGCTCGCCGACGCATCCTCGCAGCGGTCGGAAAAACGAAACCATCTTTGACGGATTCTTGGCCGAGCGCCTGAAGGAGGAAGAAGAAGCGTCGGCCGCCACCGCCGCCGTCGCGGCCTTGGCGCCCCAGTCGGAGTGGCGGGCACTGACTTCCGCACTCCGGCTCGTGCGCCGGAAGGGCGGGCCGCCGCCAAAGGGCGGAGGAGGGGGCGGTAACAAGCCGCCGTCCCCGCCGAAGCAGCAGCCGAAGCAGCAGCAGCAGCAGCCGCAGAAGCAAGCGCCCAAGCCCGCGGGTGAGACAGCGAGAAGGAGCGAGAAGTGAGCGTCGGCCGGGGTGACAGAGACAAGCAGACAGGCAGACAGGCAGACAGACAGACAGACAGACAGGCAAGAGACAGAGACAAACTCCGTCCAGCTCTCCGAGGATGTGGCACACGCAAACAAACAAACAACAGAATCTGCGTGTGTCTCACCGTAACCGTAACTCAACCAACTAACGAATCCGCACCCTTTCCTAACCAATTCGACCCTTCCGACAACCTTTCTTTCGACAGCCGCCGTGCAAAAGGGAATATCAAAGGCCGCCGGCGCCGTAAAGAGCTTCTTTGGCGGAGGCAAGTGTCTCTCTCTTTGCTCGTCGGGCTTCTGCGTCTACACAAAGATTCTGACCCCGCGATCCCATCCCCCGCACCCAAAAACCCACACCCACTCCCCCCACAGGAGGCAACAAGAGCAGATCCGCGCCGGCCTCAGCCCCAAAGAAGCAAGGCTTCTTCAGCAAGATGGCCGCTAAAGCCGGCTCCGTCGCCAAAAGCGCGACGCGCGCCGTCAGTCGCGCGACCCAGGGACTCAAGGGCGCCGCAAAAGGGTTCGCCGGCGCGGCCAAGCGCGCGGGCGGGGCGCTCGCACGCGGCGCCAAGAACATGGCGCATCGGGCTCGAGGGGCCGTTCAACGCGCCGGCGGGGCTCTGGCCCGCGGCGCCAAGAACATGATGCGCGGCACGCGGAACGCGGCAAAGGGCCTCGCGCGCGGCGCCAAGAACGTGATGAACCGTGCCCGCGGCGCGGCGCAGCGTGCCGGCGGGGCGGTCAAGCGGGCCGTCGGGCGTGCGGTGCGCGGCGTGGGGCGAGCGGCCAAGGGGCTCGCCCGCGGCGTATCGCGAGCGGGGCAGGGGCTGCGTCGGGCTGCGGGTCGGGCGATGGGGACCGCAAAGCGGATGGCGGGTCGGGTGGGTCGCGCGGTGGGGCGGGTCGGACGGAAGATTGGGTCCAGCCTGCGGAACGCCGGGCGCAAGATCGGGTCCGGGTTGAAGCGGGCCGGGCGCATGGTCAAGGGCGGGCTGCGGCGCGGCATGTCGAAGCTGGCGAACGGTGGCCGGAGGCTGATGCGCGGCGCGAGAAAGCTGGGCGGCCGGCTGCGGGACGGCATGTCGAGGATCAAGAACAAGTTCAAGGGGCTTGGACGCAAGGCGAAGAACTGGGCGAGCAGGATGCGCGGGAGGTTCGGGCGCGGCCGGGGTAGGGGCCGTGGAGTTGGACGGGGACGGGGACGGGGACGAGGGCGAGGACGGGGTGTCAGCAAAGGACGAAAGGGGCGGAAGGGTAAGGGCAGACGCAAGGGAGGAAAGGGCAGCCGTCGCAACCGCAAGGCGAAGGGCGGCGCTGACAGGGGCGTTCCTCCTGGTGGAGACGAGTCCATGGCAGCTGCGGGTGGAGACTCTCCTGGTGGCGATGCTGGAGGTGATGCAGGTGGCGGAGGGGGTGATGCAGGCGGCGCGGGAGGTGATGCGGGCGGTGGGGGGGGCGATGCAGGTGGTGCTGGTGGTGATGCAGGTGGCGGAGGCGGTGATGGTGGTGCTGGTGGTGGCGGCGGTGGAGGTGGGGGTGATGATGGTGGTGGAGGCGGTGGGGGCGGTGGTGCCGGCGGCGATGATGGTGGCGGTGGTGGAGGCGGTGGTGGCGGTGGTGGTGGCGGTGATGATGGCAGTGGTGGAGGCGGTGGAGGTGGTGGTGGCGGCGGCGGCGGCGGCGGCGGAGGCGATGGTGGAGGCGGAGGTGGTGATGGAGGCGCAGGAGGCGGAGACCCTGGTGCAGGAGGTGGAGACCCTGGTGCGGGAGGCGGAGACCCTGGTGCAGGAGCGGACCCAGGCGCAGGGGGCGGCGATCCAGGCCAGGCAGGAGGCGACCCTGGCATGGCCGGAGGAGACCCAGGAACGGCTGGAGGAGACCCAGGCCAGGCCGGAGGCGACCCTGGACAAGCAGGCGGCGACCCCGGAATGGCTGGAGGCGACCCAGGCCAAGCCGGAGGCGATCCCGGCCAAGCAGGTGGCGACCCCAGCATGGGAGCCGGCGGTGATCCAGGTGCTGCGGGTGGAGCAGACCCTGGGTTGGGCGGCGGCGACCCCGGGCAGGCAGGCGGCGACCCGGGGCTCGGCGGAGGCGGCGATCCCGCCATGGGTGCAGGCGACCCCGGCGCAACCGACCCTGGCCAGTCCAGCGCGGACTACCCCGGCGTTGGTGCAACGGACCCCGGCGCAACCGACCCTGGCCAATCCAGCGCCGACTACCCCGGCGGCTTCGGCGCGGACCCTGGTCTTGGTGGCGGCAGCGACCCCGGCTTCGACCCGAGCGGCGCCGGCGCCGGCGGCAGCCTCAGCGACCCTGCGGGCACCAGCGATCCGGGAGCCGTCAACGGCGGGTACGTTGGTCCCAGCGACGGGTACGGGGCGGACCCGAACGCGGGCGGCAGCGTCGGCGGTGGGTACATTGGCGGTGGGGACGTCGGCGCGTCGGACCTGGCCGGCGCTTCATACGGAGCCGGTGGGGACGCCGGAGGGGTGTACGGGCAGGATGGTGGCGGTGCGTACCGGCGGAAGCGGCGGAGGGGAGTGGATGTTGGAGGGCGGGCTGCGGTGGCCAGGGGGGCTGAGGCGCCGATGG